TTGCCTTGTGAAATTCAGGCAACCCTCATGGGATCTCTTCACTTTATCCACATGGTTGTGCGAGCAACATTTTATCTAACCACCATTTAAATCCTCACATTGTCAAAATCATCATAAAATCCTGTTTGGGACGCATTATTCAAGTGGAAAGTAGGGAAAAAAAAAAGGACCATTATTTTCAAATGTGGACCCCAACTGTGAGATAAAGAGCAAAAAATGGTGGCCGGCAACGGTTGGAATTTTTCTAAATATGTAGAATTAATGCTGAACAAACATGGTCTAAATTTTCAATTATTGGGTTATTAATTTCAAATAATTTGAAAATTCACTTACACGTATTTGATAAAATTAATTTTTCTGTAGAATAAAAAAGATAATATAACACATAAAGGTTAGTAAACGATCTAATGACATATTTTTATTTTGCTTCTCATCGTTGCTAGATTTTGTATACAATATACCATAAATTTTATATATAAACGCAAGACATTTTAGACTCGGATAAACAAAAATTGCCCTCGTATTCTTGAAAGACAAGCATTCACTACTACTTGAGAGTGTCTTGGTTTGCATTACGAATTATCCATGTTTTGTCTTAATTGGCAGCATTTGCACAAGCGAACCTTTGATGTGTTTTGACAACCTAACTAAAAATAGCACATGGATGCCATGTTCTTAAATTTGCTGTGAAATAACCTAACTTGATATTGCTTGACAGCTAATTCTATGATGTTGATATCCAATTCAATTGGAACATCATTATAAAAGTAGCCTTCAAAGCCTACTCATCTTTAAGTTTGACATGTTAATTTAAAGTAATGTATCAATAAATTATTGGATGTACAAGTTAGACAATCAATTTTGGACAGAAGAAATTTAACTTAATCCCTATCAAACATGGGATATTTCGTCGGTATAACTTCCTCGGACAAAAATGTTGATACATCAGTTTATGTCTCTCTTAGTTTTGCTTTATTTTCATTTATTTTCTTCTTTGTTGATCATAATTGACTCTTTAGTTGGGATCTACTTCATTAACTGTGCGCTTGACGTCCAATCCTTCCCCACTCTTTTTTTTTTTAAAGACATACTGTTTTTAGTCAATGTCAATAAAAACTTATTTAATCTCAAATATTGGTAAGTTCTGCATCAGACTTTGATTTTGATCGTATGAAGACAAACCCACAAAGCATTAACTAATGAAAGGTAAGAAGCAGGCAATTGTTGACCAGTGGGATATTTCATGCCCCAAAAAACAACACAGAGAAGAGCCAAAAACAGCTATATTCTTATCATCTAAACTTGACTTCTAATTGCAGGTCCTTATCTCGACATTTTTTTTTCTTTCTAAAATAGCAGCCATAAATTACTCACTATACAAAGCAAGTCTTCCATTCAAATCTGTCAAAATGAATCAATAACTAGCGTAAGGTGGGTTGTAGGGGGAAAAAAAAGGGAGAGTTAAAATCTTGTCACTTGTGTTGTCTAGTACTACATATCTAACATGTCATTAAAGATTCTATTCCTCTAATAATAAATTTACGATCCCAGAATGTGTACTTGTATCAATTAGAGTACGACATCAAGTTTAACAAACATAATTATGTGGAACTACATCTCAATAAAGCTAATGAAATTGGGGATTACTAAAGGGAGGCTAAAATTATTTTGAGACCAAAAAGTTGACTCCGTTTGGATAATTTTTTGAAAGTGCTTTATGTACTTAAAAGAGCTTTTAGAATAAGCTCACCCAAGATGACTTTCTCGTGAAGCTCAGAGCTATCCGGAATTTATAATCATATTTCAACTTACACGAAAGGCATAATGACATGGACAAAGGAGAGGAAACCATTAATGGTTTGAAGTTTGACAACAAAGCAAGCAAGCAGTCGATTATTTTCACTGGCAATGGAAGCAATGCATCTGATTCAATTATTGCTACTCAATAAAAAGCTTAGCAACATCTTATGAATTTTTTGCAGAAGAATTTCGAACTGCCAACAGATGATGTCAACAGATGATGTGAACCCTGATTAGCACTCCTGAGTGCCTTGAGCACAACAAAGAGTTACTCACCACTCATGGTATATTCGGTGTGTTTGGACTAGACTAGACTAGATAAGTTAAAGAAGAAAGAAAAAGCAAAATTCTTAACGATAGTACTGTAAAGTAGTTGCAGAAGAGAGTGATTGGAGAAGGGTTTTTGACTGTACACTAATAAAAGTGCATTATCAAAGAATCGACATGTGGAATACAAGTCCAGGATACAAGTCCAGGATCCGGACCCGTGCATATGAAATGAAGAAATTGATCAGTAAAACTATGCCCCATATTCACGCCTGGTGTGACCCACATTCTCTCAGCAGATAAATTAGATACAACCTTTATATATAGTTGCATACCCACAAACTCTCTAAAAACTCTAGCCTTTCAGTGGGCACTGGGCAACCTTGTCTTGGAAGAGCCAAAGGACAAAAAGTAACTTGTTTCCATTTGTTCTTGAAGAAATCCCCCAGTCTAGATTTTCCCTACGGTTTGCACTCGGTACTGTTTTCAATGAGACCTCTACCTACAGATGTGGTCGACCCCATATTTATTGAGAACAACAAACTGTTGGGTTCTGGTCCATCCCTTGTTTCCTATTTATTCCTTGTGGTACTAAACAGCAAACATTGTCCGCCATGATCACTGGAACCCAAAAAAGCTATTCTTTAATACCAGGCACACAAGTCATCACCCAAATGATTTGCACTGCTGTGAGTACTGTCTTTTCGATTCTCCTGTTGCATAGAATTCTTGCACAGTTCCATTCCCTTAAAACCTAAATAAGGGAAAAGGAACAATATCTTTCTTCTGACGAAACGAAAATTCCTTAGAAGCTTTTTATTGCATGTTTATATGAACTACATGTTAAAATTTTTGAATCAGGTAACTATCTTCCTGTAAATGAAACTCCAGTAGAGTTTTAGTGGCAGGGACTATAGAAATTCATTGAAGACGCAAGATAGAACGAGCAAAATTCCAACTTCAAAATTTGGCATCAGAAAAAGAAACAGAAATGTGTGCAAAAGTATTACCTTCTTTCACAGACGAAAACCAGGATCTGCAGAAGCAGACAGGGTGTATGAATGGGATATTTCAGCTCTTTGATCGCCACCATTTCCCAACATGCTGGAGAGTTGGCAGCCAAAATCCCAAGAGACTACTTCCAGGTGATTCTTTTTGCAATCAGAAAGTTAAGATTCCAATATGCATTTATTTAAAAAATTTCTTCTTTTTCTTGACACACAGAGGTACAGCTTTATGAATTCATCTTCACTAACACTTGTATAAGTATCATTAATGGTAAGGGCTGATAGGTTTCAATTTTTCTGCCTTCACCATGATCCTATCTTATGTGCATTTTCCATGGAAGTGATCGTTTCATCATAATAATACAGAAATCAAATAAATTGTATCTACTATCAGCACTCTCTTATAAGATGGTAGAAACTGAGTTAAACAGCACATTCAATAAGTTGAAACTCCCACAAAAATCTTGCAATGCAATCATAGTTTGTTAATTACCATCTTTCTACAACACATCGTGAATTTTATATATGATTATTGATACTTAACCTTCATCTTCTGTTTACAAAATTAATCATATAGGTATAGCCTGTATACGACTATACCCTTATTTTTTCTACATTTCAATCATGAAACAAGTTTAATTTTTATCATCACTGCCAACGCTATCTTAACATCATAAAAATTCTGTGCTTCTTAAGGTGCTCACCACAATATGGACCCTAGACATGCAACAAAAACTGCAAGGGTAAGATTCTGAACAAGTTCCTTATGTGGATTTTTTTTAAGAAATCGAACAAGATCCCATGTTTGGCATAGCCAATCATTTATTTGACAAGAGGAAATTATGTGACTTACATTTGCAGGAAAAAAATCTGGAGGCACAGAAAGAGTTAAGAGTCTCCTTTGAATCATCCCAAGCCTCCTGTTCATCTTCCTCTTGTTCTTCCATGCTTTCATCATTTGATTCCCATAAAATGGCTCTACCAGAAGCTATTTCGTTCATTCAAACGAAAATTCGTGAAACCCCACTTCAAACCACAACCACAAAAGAACAAAATACTTCATTTGCCACAGGCCAGCAGTCCCTTGATCTCCAAGATGTAGTGAAGGATTCAATGTATAGAGAAACCCGTGGCTTGCCCATCAAATCTAAGGCTAAAGATGAAAGAAGAGGCTCCGTGTTGAAGCACATCGACTCTCCCAGGCCTTCTCAGCAATTCAAAAGTGGACAGTCAGGGGTTGCTGTTTCTGATGGATCAATTCACGATCTTTGTAAGCTCCATGAAGTAACAGAGAAATACAAGGATGAGCGGCTGGCACTTCCTCGTTTCTCTTATGATGAGAGAGAATCACGAGATACTTTGAAGTCTACGCTCAAAGAACATCCCAGGTTATCGTTGGACAGTAGAGCCAGTTCTACGAAGAGTCCATCCCTCCAATCACGATCAAACTTTCTTTTAAGGGATCTGCATATGGGAAATGAGGACTCCAGCCAAGTTCTACCCTCTGACCAAGAACTAGGAAGTAACAAAAGATCGCCCAGTGTCGTGGAAAAGCTAATGGGCTTGGAAGCCCTCTCAGATGTTATTTCCACAAGTGAGAGCAGGATTATAAAGATCCAGTCATGTGCTGGCACGGATTTTATTTCAAGATCGCCAAAACCAGCTGGCATGGGCAAGCAAACTCAAGATCCTTGTTCCCCACGTGTTTTGCAAAAGGATCCTGCCTTGCCACACTTGGGTAATGCCAATTCAGTCATAAACCAGACTTCACGCTCAAGGTTTCCACCTGAACCAGCTCCATGGACACAGCCAGATTCTAGTAAAAGCTTTCGAAAGCAAGCTTTAAAAAGTAGGAAATCATCTGCAATTACCTCAAATATGTCCTCCACTGTTTATGGTGAGATTGAGAAAAGGATAACAGAATTTGTGAAATCTGGGAAGGACCTCAGGGCCCTAAAACATATTCTTGAAGCAGTGGAGAAAACAAGACAAAGATTGGAGAAAAGAAAAGAGGACCTGACTGAATCTGCATCTCAAACAAGCAGATACAGCACGGAAAACAGCATCTCTGATACGGATTTCAGATTGTCCACGTGGCAGGATCAACGGAGTAACCATCGAGTTCTCACCATGAAGGAGGCCACCCCTCCAAAGAGATTAGAGCCTTCTAATATGATCATGAAACCAGCCAAAGTGATTGACAAAATTAGAATTTCAAGTTCTTCTCCGGTCCCAGCTCCAGACACATCGCATTTGCGAAAACTCAGAGCTCGGGATTCTATATATAACCGGGAGAATTCAGTTCACAAACATCCAGGAAAAGATTCTATGCCAAGGAATAATCTGAAAGATCCTAGTTGGATTGGTTCCATTGCTAAGAAGACCAATTTGAGAACTTCAGAAGTACAGCAAACCTCGAAAGCACCTCAATGCATTAAGGTAGAAAGCCGTGCTACCCGTGGAAGGAGTTCTGGAATGGTGAGTCCAAGATTAAAACAAAAGAAGCAAGTAATAGATTGGCAATCTCATCACACAACCTCATCTTCTGACTCGGGCATGATTAAAAAGAAATGTAGTAAGCAAGTAGCAGCATCTGGTTACTCAAATAGAAAACTCCACCTGAAATCAACCGATCTGAAGCATGGTTATGACCAATTGAGCGAACACAGTGGTGACACACGGTACTCTAGTCACCAAAGTGATACAACTTCTGTGATGTCACAAAGCAATATTAGTCTCGTCTCACAGATTGAAACAAAGGTCATATGCTTCGCTCATTCCATTGAGAAGAATGCCAAACAGAACCATGACCCTATACATAGGGTAAGTCTGATTTATCTTAGTGCCCGTCCTGTTGGTCTAGTTCATTAGTTGACAAGTTTCATTTTTTTTGCCTTTTCAGAGTTCTGCAGCAAGATTCAGAGAACACACAATAACAGCTGAACTTGCAACGACTATGCTGGAACAACCAAGTCCTGTCTCGGTTCTTGATGTGGCATTTTGCAGAGATGACTCACCATCTCCGGTCAAGAAGATATCAACTGCTTTTAGAGGTATTGCTCTTTCTCTAAGTAACATCCATTTTGTATGTCACTACTCAGATAAATTACATTGAAATGTGTAAGAAGGCTTAACTGTACTAACAGAAGAATAAGTGATATAAATATTACAGAAAATGAACCAATACAATAGTGACACATAATCAAATATAGATTCTCCCTGTATTTATGTACATTTCAACAGGAGTGAGGCTTTTATATTATTCTTTAGACAGTTAACAGCCCACCACAGAATTTGCAGATCTTTTAAGACCAGCTGTCATCAATGTGACAGTTTCACAATCAAACACGGAGAAAAGAATATAGAAGAAAAACAAGATATTGAAGTAATCCCTCATTACTGCTTTATTATCAAAGACGGACCTTTTTGGTCACTCTAACCTTTATTAGAGCAATGGTATTTGTTGTTAATTAGAAATGAACCGCACAGAAAATACTGTACTTTGAGACCAATGTGATTTTGAATCTCATATGGAAAACTCCAGCATATGATAAAGTGAAAACAGAGGCATCATTTATCCAAACGAAATGAACAGTTAGGTACATAATGAATCTGAGAGGAGAATACCCGTCTATCCACAATACAAATACAATTTCATTTTATTTTATGTGCAATTACATAGCAAATGCAAATTTTCACTAATAGATGTTGTGTCTTGTTAATACCTGAACAGATGACGAAAGTCCAAATTCCGACGACTCAAAATGGCATGTAGAGTATCTAAATGGTTTACCGGATCAGAAAAGACTACACGGGCACAGTCACAGGAAATTAGATATGATTGATGACTTGGTCCATGAGGTTAGATTATTGAACCCCGCTCCTTGTGAAGATACTCTAGACCACTATGCATTTATGTACAAGAGCCCCAATCCAGATCTGCGATATATTACTAAGATATTACTGGCATCAGGACTCCTCAGAGACATAATATCAGTCCCAACAGTCAATCAGCACCACTCATCATACCATCTGATCAACACCGACTTGTTTGATGTACTTGAACAAACTGAGCAAAACATTAAGCTGGAAAATGAAGAACTTGAAGACGAGAATGCTCAGTTAAAATTTAATCAGAAAATTCACAGAAAAATTGTTTTTGATACAGTCAATGAAATTCTGGTCCGCAAATTTGCTTTACAGGGATTATTCAACCTGGGAAGGAAAAAGTTGAGCCGAGAAGAGCTTCCAAAAGAAGTTCATTTAGAGCTGAATCATCTTCAGAGAAAGCAAGATTGCAGCCATGATGACGAGGATGATGGATTTGTGAGAATCTTAATGGAAGATATGATGCATCAGTCGGCAGATTGGACAGAATACATTTGTGAGATCCCAGCCTTGGTGTTAGACATTGAGCGCCTAATCTTTAAAGACCTGATTAATGAGGTAGTCATGGGAGAAGCTATGGGCATGCATAATTGACCGAGGAGGATTTGCTGAGATGCAGAGAACTGTGCCAAGCTCAATATTTCCTTGTTATGAATGCATTTCCTCCTTGTGCCTAAAACTCAATATTTCACAAATATCATGATGCAGGAATATCTCTGTTAGTTGACAGCACAAATATTCATGTAAGCAACTAAGCAAGTAGTCGCTTGTTGTGGTCATACCCTATGTGCAAAATCTAAAAGTTAATCGCATACTATAACTAAAATACAGTTAGATGGTAGAAAATATATTGAAGTATATTTTATAACATACAGTAATATAATTCCCTGTTAATTAAGAGAACACCAAATGACAACATGTAATTCAAGTGGAAATTTTAAGTGGGTGAATCAAATCTACCTTCGAGGAAAGGATATTTGGGATTGTACGGCATAGAAAAATGACTCTCCTTTGCTCAGAAAGATGCTCGATATCAGACAGCAATTGACAGAGCCTGAACGGACAGTCCAAGCAGCCGTGGACTGACTGGGGACGTGGACTGCTGCTGGCCAGTTTTACGTCCCAGGTGTGTATGAGTTTTTCCGGCCGAAAGCAGTGAAGAAGGCCTGGGCTATTGAGGTTTGGAGATCTTACATTACTCCAGACCAATCTTTTATTCTATGGTTGGGTGCCCATTCGAAGCTGCTCACTAAGGAGATGCTGCCCTACTTAAACATCGACAGAACTTGTGTATTTTGTGGGTCACATACTGAAACAGGTTGCCATATATTCTTTCAATGTTCATTATCTTTGTTAGGAATATTGGGCCTA